TTCTTGTTGTAAAGAATTTTCCTTGGATGTATAGAGGCTTGCCTTGAATGATTGACTATCCCTGCTACTTGCAAACCAGCAGGCATTCTGCTGGCCAATTTACCGGAGTATTTTCTCAAGTACAGTAGTTTCGCACAATTATTCTTCCGTGGTGGTTCTGGTGCTTATGTAAAAGGTCACACAACACAAAAGATGACAGAAACTGACATATTTTTCTCATACTGAAGTGGTATTTTTTCACGTGGAACAAGGGGTAACTTCGTGAACTACTCACTGCTCTCTGACATATAAAATGGCAGTGAAATAATGTTAAAAAGGCACTGAAGGTCCCTTGCAGTGGAGCACAGCTAGTGCTTTTAGCTTTGGTTTTAGAATGATTTTTAAAAAATGAGCTCAGACATCACATCAACTGGAGTTTTGAAATTCTGTCTTAGTCCACTAGATGGTGATCCTTGTAAATCAGGATTCAGGCTGTCAGCCGTAAAAAACCCACACTTTAGTATGCAGAACAGAAAAAATTGCTTTACAATATGACATTATTTACATCATAATACTATACAAACAAATTCCAAAAGTGGTTGAGAAATTGCTTGGGCATAAGACTGCACTGTGCCCTCAGCATTACGTCAATAGGGGTATGAGATGCAGTCATCAAAAAAACGGAACTTGATCTCATTCTCTTCTCACTGCAAATCAGTTTGCAGCTTCGGAGCTGCAAACCCCTCTTCGAAGCTTATAACGAAAACTACAGCAAAGCAGTGTGACTGTCAGAGGCTGCCTACAATGTGCATTCATCTAAGCATATCTGGATTTCTGCATAGCATACATAAAATTGCATATGTAATCTTAACATAAAACAAAGGCTTAGGATACGGTAATAGAAATGTTTTATTCATCAAATATATTTACATTTCTTCGTCTTCTTTTTAAATGTGTGCCTGTTATTTTCATTTAAACACAATGTAATCTTTACATTTAATATCACAAGAATACAGCTACATGCATGACTTAATTGGTCCTTTGCAGTAAAAAAAATGCAATTTTATGAAGTTTTAAAAAATGCAAGTTGATTTCCTTTCCAATTACAGTGTTATTATTATTTTTTTAGAACTGAAGACCCCTTCAGCATATTCTACATCTATTGGGTGGGCTTATGCACTTTTTCAGATTGGCTTGGTGATGTCAAACTTCCAAAATCTAGACAAAATGTGAAAAAAAGACTTCATGCAGTCACAGAATATTGTATTTTCTGTAATCTTATCCACAGAAAGGACTTTGATGGAACAGAATAGTGCTCTAATTGTAAAAATTGTAGCAACTGATGATTCTCAAAAGCAATGAGGACTTACTTTTGGACTTTCACCTATTTATTCAACTGAAATCACATCATTTCGTCATTTATAAGACAGCATCATGTAATGTAATGGCACCATACAAACAATAAATAATAATTAAAAGGAGAGATTGTGTTACCAAAAGAAAAGAGATACACATCATTTCTTGTAAGTTGCTAGCATGTAATGCGCTGTAATTACTACATTATTCTCAACTCAACTTTCTGTCATGGGAAGACAATCAAATTGTATTTAAAAATATCATATTTAGGGTCTATAACTGCAGGTTCATAAAGGACCTAATGTGTTTCTCAAAGGAATAACTCTATGAATGTGTAAAACGTAATTCCACACTGAAAAAACAAAAAAAACTAGGCACAAATTTTAAATATGTTTTCCAACGTGTTCTGGGTTGGACAAAAAAAAATAAAAAGAAAGAAGCTTGTATTTATTTACCAGACTACAAAACAGAGATACCAAGTGCTTCAGAAATTCTGAAATGGCAGACACATAATCACTACATTTAAAGATAATTGTACTACAGTTACTGCTTCAGTTTACTGTGTGCAAACACATACTGTATTCATAACAGACCTAAATGTATAGTCGTTCTGTCGATTCGTAACAGAAACTCACTCAGCATTTGGGAAGGGCAGACAAGAACTAGATTCTGTTCAGATCAAACCTAGTTTGTATTTTAGATTCTCAATGCTAGTTTTACATTTGCTGTTTTGTAATAGAAGGCCAAATGCTCTACTCGAGAAAAGCCCACTACAAATCATGGATTTTCACTGAATTGCTTTTCTATGCTGCCAAATCTGTTGTGAAAGTGCCATGTATAAAATAATACAACAACTGAAATTGTGCTTAGGCATCTGGCACAACATAGTGATTTAGACAAGAAAGAATTATTTGGAAGAAAAAAGGTAAGTTCTGAAGAAATCCTACTCTGCTGCATTTTTTTAAGAATAGAGTATAATCTTGAAATAATTGATCTTTACTTCATGCTCATTCAGGAGAATGTTTAGACACATGTTCAATTAAAAACATAAGAGTAAGTCCATTATATTCAGCAAGGAACCTGTATATCTGTAAGAACACACTTTTGTGCTATTTGCATTATAGGATTCAAATACAGATCCTTTTCTGCAAGAGTCTGGGTGCTCTGCACTACCACTAACCACTTCCCTCAACAGGAGAGCTCAGTTAGATAATGCAACTGCTCCAGTCAGTGATCTAACAGATAGCTTACCTGTGCCTTTCAGGCATGACATGTCTCTTTTCCCTCTTAATCTATGAATTTCTGATTTTATTTTTTTTTCAGTGAGTATATCTGTTTGCTTGTGGAAACTATCTACAGCTGCTGTTGAAATGTTACATAAAAGCTGGTGCCCCACCAAGCTGTTACTTTACACTAAAGCTCTTCAATAAGGGAAGGGTGAACTACCAGGTGCGAGGGTCTGAAAGGTTCAGGGTCAGATTTTTTTTTTTTTTTCTGTTTTATCTGCCTTGCTGGGAACTAAATAATGTTGAAATAGTCACCTTTAAGTTACATTTCTTCCTACCCAACTTCCCATGCTTCCTTGAACCTGAAAAACAAACAAACAAACACATTTTTATAGTAGCTACGAATCTCTCATAGTTTGGAGGGTAAAATCAGGCAAGGGACGACAGAATTGCTCACTCTCCATATCTCTACGCTGAGAAACAGAGCTGAAAAACTCTGTATGAGATAATCTGATACTTGACAGAACAATAAGAAAAATATCTATTTTTTCCACAATGGTGTACAGTTTTAAGGGCCAAACACAAATACAGTAACTCCTGAAGTAATTCCCTGCAAAGCTTTGGAAACTCCAGATTCTACAGTGTAGTTTCTGCAATATAATAACTGAACATCCCCAAGCAAGGATTTCTTTGCTTCAAAATTATTTTTATATGTATTTGAATTTTACTTTACACTCTTTTTCTACTTGAGCTCTGTGCAGAATTCCT